TTCAGAGTTATACATGAGAACTGAAAGGTTTAAAGATTTATTAACATGATGTTTTCATCTGCCTCTTTACACATTAGTAAAACATTTGCATGATCTTATAGATACAAGCTTGATGGATATTTCTAACAGTAGTTAGTGAATCACTGTCATCCAAACCTAATTAGCTCTGATCTGTTTTTACTCCGTCGTGCTGTCTGGGTGCACATTGAAGTCTTTGGCAGCCCAGAACTTTTTCACATAGGTATGAGGTGCATTCCTGCGCATGGTGAGAGGGGAAGCGCTGCACATGGGCCTCCGTCTCTTTTTCCACACCGCGTCTTAGTGGCTAGTCACTGTCCAAATGTCCTCCCTCGCTCTCGCCTGTCTCAGAGTTTCCCTTTCATCCTTTTCCTCCATCATCCGTTCTTTTCCAAGAGAAATAAGGAGACTGGAAGCGCTGGGTGTGGTTTGTAGGATTTTTGCATTAGCGGAGAGTGGGGACGGAGCATGGCCCACTCAGGAGTGGGACCCAGAGTGCGGTTGTGGCGAGCCGTGTCATGGCCCGTGGCACGGCTGTCCACGCTGTTTGGACTCAGTCGGAAGGCCTCGGCCAACAGAATGGCAGGTAGGTTGAAACGCTGCGGTGACTCAGGACATCTGGTTAGTTGCTATTTGACCGTCAGTGTTGTGGTGACTGAACAGTCTCTCTGGCTCATGGTCACGGCTGGGATTGCTTGTTGCAGTGGCAATTCTCTGATTACTTGATCATTGATTCGGTGAAGCAGCTGAGGCTTCAGTGCCTTGCTCTGTGACTCTGGCATGACTGGGTTGGATGATCTGACAATATTTAATTATCAGAGATCTTTTTCCATGATGATAGCTGTCACTTTAATTTTCTTTCAGTGGGTGAAGTTAATGAGATCAATGCTGCTTTATGGCAATATTGGATTCATCTAATTCATTAATATTACTTTTAAATTAACTAGTTAGGCCAAACCAGACACTCATCTCTAGGTATTATATCCATAGAAAGTGTTTTCTTTCTGTTTTAGCATCATTGCCTGCTGATTTCCTATCTTTGTATTTTGCATGACATTTAACTTTCTGACTGCAGAGTTCACTGTTTCTCTCTGATAAACACACACACACACACACACACACACACGCATCCAAATAGTCCTGCTCATTCAGAAGCTTCTAATCTAATCACTGCCAATAATCATGCTTCTTGTAAAGCTAGTGTTTCCAGCATATTTAAATGTAAAGGTTCCATATTGTGGCCCTTTTTGGCACATTAATAAAAGTCTCACATGTCCTCAGAATGTTTCCCTGCATGCAAATATCACATCAGAACAACTCTACTCGACTATTTTGAAGCTGCATCCTTTGCTTAGCTCCACCCAAGATGATTGTGATTGGTTTAGAGAAATACAAGCAGAGCGTTTGTTCCCCCTCTAGCAGACCAATAATTAAGTCCAGCCAGACCACTCTATCCCAGCTAAGCAAGACTACCATTAAACTAATAATCAGTAAACACTTAGGTTTATTCTTCTATTTTTGTTGCATTTAAATGACTCACATTTTATCCGTCTGTTTCCGGTGCTTGTTAATGTTGGAGGAGTCTCTTATCTTTACAACCGAGAGAATCAGCCCGAGGGCGGGAACAGGTTCCAGTGGCTACAGGTGCCTCTGAGGGTCATGCAATCACATAGTTTCCATTCACTCATCACACTGCAGCACTCCTCACGCCCTTCTTTCACAATAATACTGCAAATTTTGTTCCCCCCCTTTGATAATTCCCACACTGTTAGATGTGGAAATGGGCGAAGATGGCGTCATGATACATAACAGCTGAGGTTCAGCAGCTGGAAGGGGAAAACATTCAAAAACACTCCCACAGCGAGATGTTTGATATGCTGATTGTCAACACATTAAAGCTTTTAGTACGATTTGTTAGTAAGATGTTAACTTTGTTGTTTCTGTCCTGCTGAGAGGAAGGCGTGTGCATATCAAGTGTTGTCTCGGGATCTTTGTTGCAAAAAAAATGTGTTTGTCATCCTACTGCTATGTGTCCGCACACACACACACACACACACACACACACACACACATGAGTGAGTGTTTTTCCGTGCTTTTGCAGGGTGTGTTTCTATGTGTGACGCTGAAAGACAATAGAAGCTTATTGTTGTAAGGCGGGGAGTAACTTCAGGACCGAACACCACTCAGCCTGCATTTCACTCTGCAGAGGCCACTTCAGAGTCCTCACAGTGAATAAAGGAGGTGTTGATCAAAACAGAAAGACTCTGTCATGTGCTGTGCTGCACGGATACAGTGTGATTGCTTTGAAAGGGTATTCATTTTGGCTCCTGGGTAATTTTATATTATGAACACTGTCTTTATTTCATATATCTTAATGTGTAGCATGTGCATCTGGCATTTAAGGGTCATTGCAGTTGAAATGATCATGCATTTGCTTTTTCCCTGTGCATAAAGAGATGCATGTAGAGGCTGTAAATATGGCTGACATTAATATCTTCATGGTTTGTTATGAATGTATATCACAACATGGCAAATTGATTTGAGTTTTTGCAAATACAATCTGATACAACTGAGCATATCTTCTCAAAATTTCATGATTTCATAAATTATTCCATTTGCGTCACAGTTGCTCAGGATCTCCGATGTGGACAGCCACATTTTCATACCTGTGTTTATTTATTCATGACGCAGGTTCACTGAAAATCAATAAAGTCGCTGATATCGATTTGTTCTCTGCCCTGCATGGCTGTGAATGGTGACACCTAAGGACACAAATGATGGTTTCACTGGATGAGTCTTTGGCAAAAATGACTAAAATCTGCAACAAATGATGCCTGATCTGTCTGAATCCTCAGCGCATGTGCTGTGCATGCATTACAGCAGATAAATGATGAAGCTTGTGTCAGTATAAAATGTGCATATTGACCATAAACAGGCTCTTTTTCTCCCACACTCACCCACCAGTGCAGGTTTTTCCATCTCCACCATCTCTTTGTATTTCCCCTTTTTCTCCTTTAAGCTCTTTGACCTTCAGCCTCCTTTAATTCTTTAAACCCACTATTAAAACGCCTCCCTCAGCTTCCATGACACCACAGCCTGATCTGTTTAACACTGTTTTCAGGATCTGTTTCAGCTTCAGGTTTCCCTCAGCCAGCCTCACAATCAGTTTGATGTGTGACCCTGTTCCTGGACGTTACACTGCTTTTTTTTTTCTCATGTTGATCAAGTCCTGAGCAGCCTCCTGTACGTAAGCTAACACAACCACAGAGAGGAATGTCGTATTTGACATTCCTACAGTTGTCACACGTCCGCAAACACACAGTTTCGGTCGTGTTCTGAAAGCTGAGATGTTGAACACTGATAATTAAACAGTCTTATGTAAGAAGGAAACGAGAGAACAGATTTCTATTCTCAGCTTTACCTTGTGGAATTGTGCGCCTGTGTTGAAGCTGAATATTGACTCGTGCATTGCAAAAGTGTGAACGTTAAATATTTGCAGTATTATTTAAACTTCAACACAACTGTGAAGCGTACGCCTAGAGTCTCATGTCTGCTTTTGCGTTCATTTATGTGGCAAATTTGGTGTTTTGTTCCTTCCCCGTTTCTTTAAATTTCATCACTGTAAAGCATTTAAGTGAAGTCAGGCTGTTAGTTTTATTTGCCAAAATCATTCTATTTAAAAAAAAAATCAATTTAGTTTTTTCAGGCCAATTAAATACCAGCAAATGGATTTTACTGAAAATCTTGTAAAGCAGACTTTGATATTAGTGAACAAACAAGTTGTCGCTTCTGGTTACATTTTAGATGGTTTGGTTTGATTGTAAATTGACTCTACCTCCCATGTGTGTGTGTGTGTGTGTGTGTGTGTGTGTGTGTGTGTATCACGTTTATTTGAGTGCATGCAACTCCTTTAAACCTGTCCCTTTGGTGCCGGCCTCTTTCTGGAGAGTTAAAGCGGGGGGGAGCGGCTATATTATGCTTCAGCTTTATGAATAGGACCGAGTTTTTTCTCACACTGAAAGATCGTGTCTCCTCTCAGAGCGGGGACAGTCGCCAACAATAGCTCATTGTACACACCAGCTTCTACTTTTTCAGTAGCTGCTCTGGCTTAATCAGGCTGTGCGCTGTCCAAAATCTCTCCCTCACCACACTCATTGATTCTATTTAATGCTCCTCTTTTGAATCTGTCGTTGCTCTCAAAAGAAAAACTTGTTTCAAACAAAATCACGTGGAAGTCTCTGCATGTAAATGAGTTCATCTGTCTGAGGGCAAAGTCAGCTTGGAGTTAGTTTCAGTTTACAAATGTCATTGCCCTTGAAAGTTACAGTATGACACATGAACACTTCCATGAAAGCCACAGGAAAGAGCGAAAACAAAGGAAACAGGATGCAAGGAAAGATGGAGGATTGTTCATGTCATGGATAAAGGCATTAGTAGCCCCTCAAAGGCAGGCTGTGAAGTTTGTCCCCATCTTCAATCAAAGAAAATCTCCAGACAGACTGTTTTCCTGCAAACAGGGGTTCTGGCCAATTGAAACAATGGGAGTGGCTGTTGGGCTAATCCTCCACTCATGTGACTGAATCATTAACCCAAGGAGGCCCCTCCTTCAGTAACCCTGCCCCCCCTCTGCTTCCGTGATTCGCTGAGACGGCTGTGGGGCGGGTGCTTGGGTTGCGCTGAGGGCTGGGAGGTGCTTGGGCCGGGCAGTCCTGCAGAGGCAGTGGAGAGGAGACAGAGAAAAAACAAGTGGGAGAGTTACAGACAATATGCCTGGCAGGTGGAGTCTCCCACCGCGCTTTGTTATGGAATGCAGGACTTTGGAAAGAGGGAATAAACCACATTGAAGAAGAAGCTATGTCAGCTCCGGGTCGGCTGATTTGAACAGCAAGAGCCATGAAGAGCCCGGTAGTTTATGGCAACCCAGTCATGTTTGGTCAAGTGGATTGGAACTATGCAGCAGGTCCTCCGATACGGAGAGGGAAGAGTGTGGAGGAGCTGGGGGATGCTGGCTGGGCCAGAGAAAGGGAGAGGATGGCCCATGTGCAGCAGATTCAACACATACATCAGCTGCAGCTTCAGCAGCAACAGGTTGGATATCCTGGGTATGGAGTCGTTCCTCCTGGCCACCCGCAGGGACCAGTCCTAGTGGCAAACCCTGGTGACCCACTTCCAGCTCCAGCTTACCCTGTGCCAGTACATGGTGGCATGATGGTACCTGTAGGTGGCCCAGTACCACCTCCAGCGCATGTGGCAGCTCCATGGCCAGTACAGTGGGACAACCAGGCCCAAATCAGACAGGGCAATGTCAGCCGCCAGCTCAGCTGGGAGTACGATGATCGACACAAGGCAGCTGTTCAAGACAAGAGGCTTCAAGGCCATGACGTTTACTTCCACCCTCGTTCAGAGAATGGTCACCTGGACTTGAAGATATCTGAATGGAAAGGTAAACACTGCTTTTACCAGGGCCCTGAGGATTACAGCCAACAGGACCACAACAGAGTGCCACAAGAAAAAGACAGTAATGACTTCAGAAGTCAAGAAGAGTATGGTAAATTGGAGGAGGACAGAAGAAGAAGGGACGGTTATGTTAGAGAAAATGACCATAACTCTGAACGTTATGACCATCGGGTCCACAGGGACTCAGAGGAGTACGATCATAATGACAGATACCGGCACAGGGACCATTATGACAGAAAATATGATGAGCGATACGACGACAGGGAGAGGCAATATTATGACACAAGGAAACACCGTAAACCTGAGCTCAGAGAACGTGACAGTTACAATAGTGAGTATGAAGACTACTATGATCATAAAGACAGCCATTCTCGCAGAGACAACTACAGGGACGGTGATCACTACAATGACCATGACAGGGATTATTATGACTCTAAGGAGGGTCACCGCTCCAGAGAGAAGGACCACTACCAGCGTAGAGAGGAGGACCGCTACCATGATGAACGAAAACAAAGAGACCAGCACTATGACCGGCGTGCAGAGGATCAATATGAACGAAGAGAACATAAGTACAAAGACAGGGAAGCTTATAGCCGAAGGAGTGAGGAAACGTACAGCAGCAAAGGAAGGGCCCAGTATGACTCTGAAGTTGATGAGCACTGGGGATATAAGGAGAGGGACCGGCATTACAGATACAAGGATGCAGGAGATGACAGGAGAGATGAGCAGTACAACCACAAACAGAGGGACTATAAAGCAAGAGACCGCTATGAGCGGAGGGCCGTGGACCACTATGACCACGAGAACGAGGACCGCTATGAGTCCAGAGAAGTGGAACATTCCCCTTACAAGTCCCGGGACAGATATCGAGATTTACGCTCATTGTCCATAGACTCGCGGGATGAGGAGTACCCTAATAAAGGCCGCAAGACGCACTGTGAGGAGTGGGTTGAGGAGCAGAACCAGAAGTTGGCGCTCGGGGAAATACACTCGTTTGAGGATCCTGTTGTGTATCGGGACAGAGAAGAGCAGGAAAAGGGATATGAGTCGAGCGCTGGGAGCGTAGGTTCAAAACGGGGCTGCAAGCCCGTTTATGTGGGCTCTCTGGATCGTAACAGCTTCTACAGGAAGACGGCGCCGAGCTCCCTGCAGAAGTCCCAGTTTGCCACCACCAGGAAAAAGAAACAAGGTAAACACAAGGACATTGTCATGTGAGAGACGGTGCTCTACATCCTGTATTTGCACAACATGTCAGGCACTTATGATCATTTGTAAATCCAGCTGACACCACTCCAGGTACAACTCAACTTTATTAGAATCCTGAAAAACAAGAGGACAGATGCTTGAGCAGAGTTCTTATCACTCGCTGTTGATTAACAGGGCGGGCAGGGAGGCTGGCAGTCCTTGGTGTCTCATTGTTGACCTCCAGAGGTGCTCTTCTAATCAATGCTGGGGGAGTGCTGACTAGTCAGACTCACCTCCTTAGAAAGTGAGTGCTGGAAGCTGTGTGTATGTGTGTGTGTGTGAGTATCACCTATCTCGCAAGAAAGTGAGCTGTCAGGTATTTGTAGGCATAAGAACCTGCAGAACAGGTTTCGTGGGTTCTCGGTTGTTGCCTCTGGTGTTCACCCCATGTGTTGGTTTCCTGTTTGCTGCTGTGCTCTGCATCACTGATGTCATGTCCACACATAACTAGTCTGTTCAGTTATTCTGTGACTGAAGGTTAGTATTTTTACTGTCTTGGTTGTTTTGTTTCAAACGGGGACACGTTTAAAACCCACTTTGGTGGAAGTGGTGGAATGCACTGGCTCCGATTCAGAGATAGCCTCTATTTTGTTTTGCACACAAACCATAGCTTTGTTTATCATACACAATTGAGCCAAAGTGTCTCAAATTCTTCACGTTGGCCTCTTCAGACACCCAAATTGTGTGTTATTTAATCCGAGTTTAGAATTTTAGGTTGTGAGACGTGTCTTTAAACTACAGTGAGGGAAAGGTCAGACTTTATCAAGAAATAGATTGTGGGACTGAGGATGATTTAAATTGCTCATGAGTTTGAGTCAAGGAGGGGAAAAAAAACTATTTTTGACATTTAAGCAGTTTTTGCGGCAATTTGAGGAACATGATGATTTTTTAACCCCCTTAGAAATACAGACTGAGGTTCGAAAACCTGATTTAAATCAGAAAAGATACTGAATTAGAAAAATATTTCATGATCATATACTAAAAAAAGCTGCACGTCCTCAAAAGCATTCCTTTGTAACATTCAGTACTTAATGCTGCAGGCACATTTTGCTCATTACTTGAAATGAATTGAGTTTAAATACAAAGTAAAATCCAGGATGCACAATATTGGATTTTTGCAGAATATGCTGATACATTCCAAATCATTTTGGCTGATGCAGATATATGCATGCAATTTTAAAAACAAACATTAGACCTCTTCTGTAGTGGAATTAGCATACTCTTATACTTGTTCTTATCATGATGGCCCACTGGCAGGTGCAGAAATACAATGCAGCTTTTTCAAATATACACGTTTACTTGTCAAAGTAAGGAAATGGCTTCAGCTTACATACATGCAAACTTTCATCCTGACAGTCATTATCTGCCTGTTAATGTCATTCTAAAGGCTTTATCAACCGATACCAATAATGATGCTGATATCGTCATGCATCCCTTGTAAAACGGTGTAATCACTTGTGGGTGTGAATGGTCAAAGGGTAGCTGTGATCATGGGGTGTTGGGCTGTTCAGTCAGTCCCACACAGAAACTAACTAAAAACACCATTTAAAAGTTGCGTTTGTCTGCTGTGTGAGTGTGTTTCACGAGGAATTGAAGAAGGAGTGAGCGCTCCCCTGGTTCACTTTATTGTGTCTGAGAAGAAGCAGGTGGCGCCCCAACACCACCCCTCCCCCAGTCACCTAGAAACACACACATGCACGACCACACACACACACACACACACAGAGTCAACACCAGCCCCCACCTCACATCCACTTCGGGAGTCCAAGTATTAATCCCTAGCGTCAGCATGGTGTGTGTGGATGGCGGGGGTCTGTCTGGTGCCAGGCGGTGACCGGCGCTGCCCTGACTCCTTCACTGCAGGACTAGACTGATACTCTATGTGTGTGTGTGTGCATGTGTTTGTGTATTAGACAATCCCTCGGAGGCTTATTTGAGAAATGACGCCACATTTCAAAACACACACACACACACACATGGGCACACTTGCCACTGCAGTGTCTTGTCATCCGTTAATCTTGTTAAACTGTTTCAGCTCGGTCAGGGGTTTGCCCCCGAGTAGAGTATTTGATTGCGGGACTAAAAACATTAGACCATCTTGTTGCAGCGCTTATTGGGCTTACGCTGTGATTCAGTGACATTGAGGTGACGGTTAAGGCTTTTTGAGATGGGCCTTACGCATGTCTAGGGGCTTTTATTCTCTGTAATCCATTATAAGATATTGAACTGGACTCTGGCTGTCCCTGAAAATCTATAGAGCCTCGTAAACAGCAGCTGTCTCATCTGACACACATGTCTCTGTAACAGTTAGAATTTGTTTTATGAGCTTTATTTGTGTGTCTTTGCATGTGTGTGCTGCTTACTTATTGTAAATATATCCAACCAGAGGGGCATAGTTGGTAAAATATGCTTTTATTTTAATTTTATTTACAAGAAAATGATTCTGAGGCCAAGAATCTACCTGGATTTAGTCTTAGGGTTGCACTTTTGCGCTTCTAACAGATGTCCTCCGCTGCATGGACGGTGATCGAGTGTCTGTGTGTGAGTAATGTGTCGTCATCCATCTATGATCTGGCAGCGTATGCCGTCCACTATAATCCTCGAGCTGCCATTGGCGGGCCGCGGGATGGAGGTGGAGGTGGGGGAGTTGGGAGTTAAGACGGGAAATCTTTGGACAACGTTGCTGCAGAGGCGTCTTATCTCGCTGCTGGCGAGCAAAAAAAAAAAAAATTCAGCTTACTTCAGTCTGCATGAGTCACACACATATGCTGCCTGTGCTTTGTCTTTTTGGTTTATCCCGAGTCCTCCTCACACGTCTGAATTATGTCGCTGAAGTCTCGTACATCATTTATGAGGATCATCGTCAAGATTTATCAGTAGTTTAGATTATTTCTCTACTGAATAACTCATTTCTCAACAATCATTATCTCATCAAATTAGAAGAAGCCCAGAGATGCATCATGCCAAGCGTTACGTTCTCCATGATATCAATCCTCATATTCTCTGGAAGACTGGTGGTGCAGCCAAACACACACAGAAACTGCAGAGTTCACATCTTTGCGCGCTGTAGTTAGACGACGCTGCTGCTGGTACCTGCAAGTGACATGACTGATGGTATCTGTGTTTGTTCAGGTAGAGCTGTGGGAAAAGGTTGACCTTGTGGACTTTCCCTTTTTCAGGACTAAGTTACTCCCGATAAGCTTATAGTTGTCACTCCTCATGTGAGGATGCAGGTTATAACTCTGAGGAATTACCTCCGTGTCGTGTTTGTGTGTAGAATACAGTGTGCAGAACTTTAGGTTACCACAGCTGCTCTGATCTGTGCCGTGAGTCAATGAGATTTGTGCATTTCTGTTGTTGTCAAGCTGCATTCACTCATGGAGTCATTCCATCGGTTTTGCACTCGTGGATACGCTACTCTCAGGGCTTTTGCCAAGTCAAATCAAGTCACCGTTATTTACATAGCTCATGTAGAACAGCAGACTTAAAGCCAAAGAGGATTTCCAGTAGAGAAATGGGATTTGTGTTACAATACTTAAGAAGTTCAAATGTTTGAATTAAGATCCTACAAATTCACCTGACTAAGCTTAATATCAAGTCATTCAGTGTAATATATAGTACAAATTAACCTGACTGACTTAGATAGTGAGGTTAGGAGCCTACAATATTGTATACTATAACGCACTGCCTGACTTAATCTGAAAAACGAAGGTTAGTCCTCTACAAAATGATACATAAACAGTAAACAGCGTCTTCTGTCAGTGATAGTGCGTCGCAGTCTGATAAACAGAATGTATTTGTTCCACTGTTGGCGGTCAAAGGCGACCACAGTTGATAAAAACGGTCACAGTGGTTACAGATGTTGATCTTGACTGTGATAACATCAACTCATCTGTGTGGATTCTTTTCACTCCTCTGTGATCAAATGGTAAAAAGTCACTTCAAACTCCGACTGAGCCATTTATAGCGATATCAGCGCTGTATTTATCTTAGGTTTTCCAGAACTTTAGCTCTGTTTTGCTTAAAAATTGGCTGGTATTTGGATATTTATTCAATCTAGTTATATTTATAGCAGCGGTAAGCCTGATAATCTCTTACTAGAATGCTGCAGTTTCACACAGAAATGAATCTTGTTAAATGGTATTTGCGCTAAGAAGCTTACTTTCTTGTCTGCAGCAGTAATGCATGAACAGTGGGGCTGTAGTTTGAGGAATATAAAGGAATCAGTTTGTCAATCAGCCATTTTTTTGTGTGTAGAGGGTGCAGTGTGATCAACTGTGTAACATACTTCCTTTATTTACTTGTGGGAAAAGTCACAGAGCCCCAAGGAAGATCTTTGTCTTTACTTGTCCTGCCATTAGCAGCAGGTATAATCCAACAAGTTCAGTCATCTCAGAGACTTCTCACAACCGGATTGTAATGCACAGCAAAGTATTTTCCCACACCGGGACTCTAAAGGCATTAACGCTCAAGTTCGGTATGAAATAGTGATGTAAAAACTCAAAATCTAACATTCTTTACTATTTACATCCCACATCCACCACTGGAGCACCTGTGAGGCCCCAAACCCTCATTGTCCTCTTCTTTTCCATTAGTTTGAAGATAGTACAGCTTTTTTTTTGTTCAATAGGCTCCTGGTTGAATGATTTTACTCCCGCTGCACATATGCAAAGCTGATGGTCTCTTGAGGTAATTGCACATTGTTCGTTACAGAAATTAGTCAAATTGAGAAATTCCAAGGAAGCCAAAGATCCGAGTGTTGGAATCACTTGTTGTGCAAAGTTGCGGCGTCTTATTTGTCCGACATGTTAATTGAAGTGTAGCCTTGTCCACCTGGGAACATGAAAGTTCTATCTATTGAGAGCAGATGCCAGACACAACATCAGATCTGGATGCTGCATGTCCGGCTTTTATGATATATGGATGGAAAGGGAAAGCCAGGGA